ACCGTGGTGCGGGCTCCTGCTGGGCCTGGGATTCCAGGCAGGGCTGGTGGGCATCCTGGGGAGCAGTGGGATGTGCAGGACTGGTGGGGTGGGATGAGACCAGCACCACAGGTGAGTGGGAAAGCCCAGGGTCTGTGTGGGTATGTCCCTCCTTGCAGCTGAGTCACGAGGAGCTTTTTCCCTTGCAAACCTCCTCCAGCCCTTCAGGAGATTCTCAGTGGTGCTGGGTCGGTGGGGTCCAGGGGTCCCTTGCTCCCCACGGGGGTCTCATTACTGATGTTTGCTTTTCAAGGAGATTCCCCAGGAAATCCCTCAGCAGCCCACAAACTGGAGCCGCCAGGCGCTGGAGGCGCGGGAGCTGGCTGAGAGGTACGCCTGCAAGTCCTGCACCACCAGCTCTATCAGCCAGGACAGATGTTGGGCTGGGACCCCCCTCCTGTTCCCAGCTCTCTGCTTGTGGCTGGCCGTGATGGATGGGGACGTGGGAGCCCTGAGCCTGGGCTTCATGGTCCCCACTGCAGAGGGTCCACGTGAGCCTGACCCTGTCTGATCCCAGCACAGGCAGAGGAGGCTGCCTGCCCGGCTGGGGGTGTGGGATGGCCACTCCTTTCCCAAGAGGCCGATCCTAATATCATCTCTCTGTGTGTGCTTGCCCCTGCAGCCACGAGGACGCTGCGGCGCAGGTGGAGGCAGTGGTGGGGAGAGCGCTGCGTGCCTCCAACGCCAGCTCCGAGCTCCTGAAGAGCCTGTTGGAGGGGAATGCCATGCGGGAGGTGCAGCGTGAGCTGGAGGCCGGGTGAGGGGCTGGCAGAAATGGGGGGCTGGCAGGGCACTGCAGCCCCTTGCCCCTGGCCAGGTCCCTTTTACAGGGCTGTCATGGTGGTTTGGCACCTACCCAACAGGGACATGATTGAGTCCTGTCAAACTCATTACACCAGTGTTGCAAAGTGGAGAGCCATGGTGCTCCGTGCTGTGGGTGTTTCATGCCCTTTCCCCCAGTGTTTTCCCCTACATTCCTGTCGGGGCCAGGTCCCAAACCATCATCTGCAGCCTTGGAAGAACCAAAGGGCCCTGAGTAACTGTGCCATCCCCTCCACGTAGGTACGAGGAAATCCAGCGGGCACAGGAGGAGCTGGGCGCTGGAATGGTGGAAGTGGCAGTGGAGGCCAGGAGAGCTTTCACAGCGGTGCAGCAGGCAAATGCAGACATGGCCGAGAAACTTCTGCAGGTGGCTTCACTGGGGCAGGTGAGCAGCGTCCAAGCTAAGGCTCCTGCTTGCATCCCTACCCCTAGCTTTACCCATTGCCTCCTGGGCTGGGTGATGCTCTCACAGAGCCTTTGGCATCCCTGCCCCCACAGCAGGCGCTGCCAGCGCAGGCTGGAGCCCTGGCACAGGACCTGGCAGCGCTGGAGCAGGCAGCGCAGGCAGAGGAGCCGGGGGCTC